ATGCTTATAGTTTTCTTGATATTGATATCAAGAGTTTGGGGCGGCCCCTGTCTCCAAAGACTGAGAACAGACCCCAACTTTAACATAAATTTAAAGAAATAGGCTGAAAAAATGAACAAACAGCAAAAAAGAATCTGACCGTAAAAAGCTACCATGATGATAGGGAAGATCAAAACACAAATTCAGAAGACAATGAAGTCAAAACATCTATGAGCAAAGCCTCAAAGAAAGAAAAAGCACAATGATAAATGAGTCCAACCACTCTGGAGAACAATTTGGATCTATGCCCAAAGGGCTGTACCTACCTTTTGGTGTTGTTATTGTTGTTTGTAAATAGTATTTTATTTTTCCAATTGCATATATAGATAGTTTTCAAGATTCATTTTCTTTTTTTTTTTTTTTTGAGGAAGTAATATTTATTTTTTTTAAGTTTCTTTTTTTAAAGTGTATTTATTTTTAGTTTTCAACATTTACTTCCACAAGATTTTGAGTTCCAAATTTTCACCCCAACTCGCCTCTCCCCCCACCCCAAGATGGCATGCATTCTGAATATCCCTTCCCCTAGTCTGCTCTCCCTTCTATCTCTCCCCTTCTTCTCTTATCCCCTTCCCCTTCTATTTTCCTGTAGGGCAGGATAGATTTCTGTACCCCATTTCCTGTATTTCTTATTTCCCAGTTGCATGTGAAAACATTTTTTTAAACATGCGTTTTTAAAACTTTGGGTTCCAAATTTTCTCCCTTCCTCCCTCCCCATCCACCCTCATTGAAAAGGCAAGCAACTCAATATAGGTTATACATGTGCAGTTATGCAAAATACTTCCGTAGTAGTCATGTTGTAAAAAACTAACCCTATTTCCCTTAATCCTATCTCGCCCCCCCATTTATTCTATTCTGTCTTTTGACCCTGTCCCTCCTTAGAAGTGTTTGCTTCTGATTACCCCCTTTCCCAATCTGCCCTCCTTTCTATCATTCCCCTGCTTTTTTGTCCCCTTCTCTCCCTATTTCCCTGTAGCATAATGCAGATTTCCATACCCAACTGAGTGTGTATGTTATTCCCTCCTTAAGCCAAATCCAATAAGAATAAGAGTCACTCATTCCCTCTTACTTTCCCATTTCCCCTCCACTATAAGAGCCTTTTCTTTCCTGTTTTTTTTTTGGGAGATAATTTACCCCATTCTACCTCTCCCTTTCTCCTTCTCCCAGTATAATCCTCTCTCACCCCTTAATTTTGTTCTCTAGACATAACCCCTTCATCTTCAACTCATCCTGTGCCCTCTATCTATATCTATATCTATATCTATATCTATATCTATATCTATATCTATATCTATATCTATATCTATATCTATATCTATATCTATATCTATATATATCTATATCTATATCTACATCTATATCTATATCTATATCTATATCTATATCTATATCTATATCTATATCTATATCTATATCTATATCCATACATGTAATTTTTCCCCTCCAACTACCATAATACTAACAAAGGTCTCATGAGTTATAAACATAATTTTTCCATGCAGGAATGTAAACAGTTCAACCTTAATAAATCTCTTATGATTTCTCTTTCCTGTTTACCTCTTCATGTTCCACTTGAGTCTTGTATTTGAAAGTCAAATATTCTATTTAGCTCTGGTCTTTTCATCAAGAATGCTTGACAGTCTTCTATTTCACTGAATGACCATTTTTTTCCCTGAAGGATTATACTCAGTTTTGCTGGGTGGGTGATTCTTGGTTGTAATCGTATCTCCTTTACCCTCTGGAATATTATATTCCATGCCCTTTGGTCCCTTAATGTACAAGCTGCTAAATCTTGTGTTATCCTGATTGTATTTCCATAACACTTGAATTGTTTTTTTCTGGCTGCTTTTCATATATTGCAGTAATTTACTTGTTAGTATTTTTATGACATTTAATATTTCTGCTTTTTGTGACTGGTTGTGAGGCTTTTATGCCCTAATACATGGTTAATTTTTGTGAAGGTGCCCTGTACAACTGAGAGAAAGGTATACTCATTCCCATTAAATTTTCTCCAGAGGTCTATCATATCTAACTTTTCTGAGAATCTATTAAGCTCCTTACCATCATTCTTATTTATTTTATGGTTAGATTTATGTAGCTCTGAGAAGGGAAAGTTGAGTTCTCCATTATTCTATTTCTACTATTTTCTCCTGTAATTAATTTAAATGTTCCATTAAGAATTTGGATGCTATGCCATTTGGTGCACATATGTTTAGTATTAACATTACTTCATTGTCTATGGTCCTTTTTTAGCAAGATATATTTTCTCTGCTTGTCTTTTTAAATTAGGTCTATTTTTGCTTTTGCTTTGTCTGCGATTGTGAGTGCTGCCTCTGCCTTTTTAAACTTAATTTGAAACATAATAGATTCTGTCCCAGCCCATTATTTTAATTCTGTATGTGTCTCTCTGCTTTAAGTGTGTTTCTTGTAAACAACCTGTTCCAGGATTCAGGTTTCTAATCCATTCTACTACCAGCTTCTGCTTTATGGGTGAGTTCATTTCATTCACATTTACAGTTATGATTGCTAACTGTGCATTTCCCTCCATCTTGTTTTTTTTTAATTTTTTTGCTTATCCTTCTCTCTTTGTATTCTGTCCCTCCTCAAAAGTCTGTTTTTTCTTCTTCTGATCACTGCCTTCCCTTACCCACTCTCCCTTTTATCACTCTCTTCCACTTCTCTTCCACTCCTACTTCTCTGTTGGGTGAGATAAATTTTATACCCCATTGAATGAGTCTCTCTCTCTCTCTCTCTCTCTCTCTCTCTCTCTCTCTCTCTCTTTCTCTCTCTCTCTCTCTCTCTCTCTCTGTATTTTTTTCCATCTTTTGACAAATTTAAATGACAGTGAGACTCTAGCATTGCCAACTCCTCTCCATGCCCTGTACCATTTCCCCCTTTACTGTAAAAACTCTTCCTTGTGTATCTCCTTTATGTAAGATATTTTTCCTCATTCTTCCTCTCCTTCCCACTTTCTCCCAGAGTATTCTTCTGTCTTGCACATCCATGTTTTTTTACATCATCCTAACATAATTGGCTCAGTCCTATATGTTCTGACTATGTAGAACTATGTAGAATCTTTATAACTGTCCTAATAATGATAAAATTCTTAGGAATAACATGTATCATTTTCCCAAATAGAAATGTGAACAGTTTAACCTTATTAACCCCTTATGATTTCTCTTTCATGTTTACCTTTTTACACTTCTCTTGAATCTTCTATTTGAATGTCAAATTCAAATTTCATCTCTGGTCTTCTCATCAGGAATGTTCAAAAGTCCAATATTTCATTAAATGTCTTTTTTTTTCTCTTGAAGGATTGTACTGAGTTTTATTAGATAGGTCATTCTTGGTTGTAATGCTAGATCCATTGACTCTGCAATATCATGTTCCAAGCCCTTCACTCCTTTAACATGGAAGCCACTAAATATTGTGTGATCCTTACTGTGGCTCCCTCCCAAATATTTGAAAGTTTTTTTTTTCTTTTGGGTGCTTGAAGTATTTTCTTTTTGGCCCAGGAGCTGTGGAATTTGACTATAGCATTCATAAGAGTTTTTATTTTTGAATCTTTTTCAGGTGCTGATTTCTGGATTCTTTCATTTTTTATTTTACCCTTTGTTCTAGGATACCAGGGTAATTTTCCTTGATAATTTCTTGAAATATGATGGTTAGGCTCTTTGTTTGAGCATGGTATCATTGATTCAGGTAATCTAATAACTCTTAAATTATCTCTCCTTGATCTATTTTCCAGGTCAGTTGGTTTGCTGATGAGAAATTTAACATTTTTCTATTTTTAATTCTTTTGACTTTGTTTTATTGTTTCTTTTTGTGTTTCGTGATATCAGCATCCATTTGCCCAATTCTAGTTTTAAAGGTATTGCTTTCTTTAGTGAGGTTTTGTATTTCCTTTTCCATTTGGTCAATTCTGGTTTTTAAGGAGTTATATTCATCAGTGAAGTTTCGTACCATTTTTTTCATTTAGAAATTCTGATTTTTAATGTATTACTTTCTTCAGGGTATTTTTTGTGTGCCTCTTTTACTAAGCTGTTAATTGTTTTTTCATAATTGTCTCTTTTTTTGGCTTTTATTTCTTTTTTTTCTACCACTTTTTATTTGATTTTGAAAATAATGTTTTAGCTCTTCTAGGAATTCTTGTTGGGCTAGTGTCCACTTTTTTTTCCTTGAGGTTTTGCTCGTAGCTGTTTTGATTTCATTGTCTTCTGAATTTGTGTGTTGATCTTCCATATCATCATAGTAGTTTTATGGTCAGATTCTTTTTTGCTGTTTGTTCATTTTTTTCAGCCTATTTCTTTAAGTTTATGTTAAAGTTAGGGTCTGTTCTCAGTTTTTGGAGAGAGGGGCACCATCCCAAACTTTAGACTTTTTTTGCACTATTGTTTTCAGATCTACTACTGGGAGTTTGAAAGTTTTAGGTTCTTCCAAAGTGGAATGATCTAGGGAATGGTGAGGTCACTGCTCTCCTGGTCTGCTTTCTGGCCCTTACCCAATAAGGTACCATATGTTATGGTACCTGATCTTTTGGAATTGCAATGGATACTGCTCCTCAAGGTACTTGTTCCCTTGGGACTGGAAGTGATACTACACCTCAGGGCCCCCGCTCCCTCTTGACTAGAAGTGAACCTTTCCTCCCTTGAACCCAGAAAGTTATATAGGTAATTGAGTTGCTAAACAGCTTCCAGTCCTGCATCTAGTGCTAGCACAGGCATCCCCTATAATCTCTTTCTGACCTGTTGCCAGGTCACCTTACTGTGTCTAGCTTGAGGGCTCCTGAAGCTGCTTCTCCATTTCCCACTACCACCTATTCCCATCACTGGTTTTTCATCCATTGTAATCTTTGGACCAGCGTCTACCCCCATGTCACAGATTTCTCCTTCTAACCCCCTAAGTTGTTTTGGATTGGAAGAATGTCTCACCTTGATCTTTTTATTGATTGTGCCACTCTAGATTTTTATTTAAGGCATTATTTTAAAATTGTTTAGTGGGGAATGTTGGGAATGTTGGCTGAATGTTTCCTGTACTCTGTCATCTTGGCTCTGCCCCTGGAAGAGTCATTCAGTCTTTATTTTTCACCTCTTCCACAAGCCCTCTTGTGTGGTCTTTCTTCTTTGCCCTAAAACAAAACAAAAAAAGCAAATTTTTTCTATTTTCAAGCTTCAGATGCTGCCTAAGAACCTATGGCCAGGTAACAGCCTAATCTGAATGAAGGAGTAAGACAGCATGTTACAGTGGTCTTTCCATAAATTTTAGGGTCAAATCCTGCCTCTGTCATTTACTACCTATGTCATTTTGGACTGCTGCTGCTGCTGCTGCTGCTACTACTACTACTTGACACTACTATGACTATTACCAATAATAGCTATACTTTATAGAGCACTTTCGGTTTTGTAAAACATTTTGCACATGTTATCTTATCTGATCCTCACAAAGATCTTGTGAGGTAGGTGATATTTATTATCTTTATTTTTCAGACGCAAAAATTTGAGATAGAGAGAGGGTATGTGATTTGCCCAGAGTCACACTGCCAGTAAGTGTCTGAGACAAGATTTGAATTCAGGTCCTCCTGATTCCAAGTTTAATGTTCTATCCAAAATGCCAACTAGTTACCTCAGTTAACTCCTTTGGAGCTTCTATTTTCTTATCTGTCAAATGATGTAGTTTAACTCAATGACCCCTAAGGTCTTTTTCAACTCTAAATTTGGGATCTGCTAGTTGCAGTTATATTTTAGGCCTTTGAGCTCTGCTCCTCTTTCCTGTCTGAATTTTTACAAAATCTGACGCACAGAAACAATTAGTAAGTGGATTACGTCAAACATGTGGAAGAAATGGCAATATTCCAGTGGGAAAGACATGCCCTAGACATTTGGCAGGAAGAGTGAAGGGAGGAAATCTCTTTGTAAAGTGATGATTCACACTTGTACAGAGGTTCTGGAAGGAATTAACTCAAGAGAAGGCTAGAGAGCTCCTTGAAATATATAAATGCCTCAGGCCATTAGCAATATGTTTGAAATCGTGTTAGAGACAAAATGGAGTCCATTAGGTCATTGAGATCTTTTCCCTGAATTCAATAAAGAGATGACAACTGAAGCAGCATTTGCTTTTTTGTTGTTGTTTCTGTTTCTGAAAACTCAGTTGCTCTCTATACTTAATGAGTCAACTTTTCTCTAGGACCACCTTTGAGAAATACTTTTTCCCATGTAAATTATGTTGTTATGGAATCTTTATGGTCTGTGGAAGAAGACACTACTTTAAAGGAGAATGTGGCTACTTGAACTACGGAATTATAAAGGAAGAGAATAGAGAAAGAGAAGGTTCTCAGAGATTATGTAAGGGATAAGGGCAGAGGTGAGGAAGGAGGTCTTCTAAGTAATCCATATAAAGATGGATTAAATGGATAAAGTATCTGGCTGATAATCAACAGTTCAGAACGTCTAGTTTTGTTAGGATGACATTGCCAATAAATTAGCCTGAGCTGCTAAAATTGTTAGTGAAAGAATAAAAAAAGTGAAGGAAGACAAATGCTAAATGAAAAAACAAATCCTCTGATGTGAAAGGCAGCCAAATCAATGTCCTAGTGAAACCATTTTAAAAATCTTTTATTGTGAAAGAACAGATCGATAGAGCACTGGCTCTGGAGTCGAGGACATGAGTTCAAATCTGGCCTCAGACACCTGACATTTAGTATCCGTGTGACCCTAAGCTAGTCACTTAACCCTGAATGCCTTGCCAAGAAAAAAGAAAAGAAAAGAAAGAACTGATCATGCTACTGACTTCATTTTAGCTGCAATGGCTTTCAGGCTCTTTAAATACCTGGGCTCCAGACTGTTCAGCTGTCTTTGTCAAGTACTAACAAAGTATTTTCCCTCTTATCAATCAATTGATCAATAAACATTTTTTAGGCACTTACTGTACAACCAGGCACTGTGTTAAGCTCTGTGCTTCTGGCTATGCTTCTGACTTTCTGGCCTTTAACACAATATTTCTACTACAGTTTCACCCTGGAACCTCCCCCAGTGCCTGGGGAGGTCCTCTTCACCTTTAAATATCCCCTTGCCATGATATTACCCTTCTCCCATTAGTGAATTCCTCTTGAGGCCTCCAAAATGGAAACCCTAGGAGGCCTTGTGCTAGCCAACCTTCATTATCTTCCTAGCTATGATTCTGATTTTCCAGATTATAACACCTGGAACTGCATGAGTTCCTTCATCCTCTCCATCCCCTACATTTTCTTCTTCCTTTGGTGAGTTATGTCATCTTGAGGTCAGGGACCTTCTTTTTGCTTTTATTTGTGTCCTTGTCACTTAGCAAAATTGCTGGCAATTGTAAATCCTTAATAATAAATGCTCTGTCACCTATCTACCAATAGGATGATAACAAGCATTTATTTATTATTTATAGCTTTATAAAATATTTCTGTATAACAATCCTATTAGAAGTATAATATATTACTATACATGTGTTTAAGATGAAGAAATTAAGGACTAGAAGTTAAGTGACTTACCTATCCATAGTTATGGAGCTAAAAATGTCATAGTCAAGATTCAAACCCATATCTTTTGGCTCCAAGGTCAGCAGGCTTTCCACTACGATTGTTCAAACTTAACCCACATGGAAATTTTGAGATAGGAGCATGGAGATTATTATAGCTCCACTGTGTTCTTGAATGTTATATTTGAAAGAAATAAAAAATGCCATGTTTTAAACAAATGAAATTAATAATCATAGGCTATTATAAAAATATGAAAATCTCAAAGATTGTTTTGACTAATGAAAGGTGAATAAGTCTGTCTTTTAAAATGAAGCAACATATTATGTAGTTCACTTTGTCAGCTGATCTTTAAAATATTAAATGTAGCTGTTTCTTCACATTTTGTTATTGAAGTGATTAAATGAAAAATCATGGGAATCAACATTTTATGCTGACACAGTTATAATAGATAGTTATTATGAGAGAAGTTATATGGTCATATCAAAATTCCGCTTCTCATTGTACTATACCATCTACAGATTTCATTTTTTTCAACAATACAAAGCTTACATTTTTATTCCTGTGGCCTCACTATATTTTTGGTGGTAGTATGATATTGGCTTACTAACTTTTGAAATTTACTCCCAAATCTCAAAGCCTTTTAAAGCCAAAAGTATGGGAGGAAATGGCTTAACCTTGAATTATTCTATTTCTAGTTGCTTGGGAGAGTAACCCTAAAACTAGATTAATTAGAAATCAAATTGATGTTTCCACAAACAGTAAATATATGTACTGTGTGAACAAATGATGTCAGCACTACCAGTGGTATGATACCCACAGGGACTAAAATGGGATATCCTATAAAGGCAGTTGAAGAGAAGGGAGTTTGTTTGGCTTTGACTTTTAAAAATTGCCAAAGACCATCTCTCTAGTCATTTGGAAGGAACTGGAACTGTGTGTATGTGAGAACTGATTGTCTCCAGCCTCCTTCTGCTTGAACTCTCTTTGGCTGTTTGCCTGGTTTTCTTTATAGTTTGTATTACCTCATTACTCGTACTTCTTCTCAAGTGTACTGTTCTGCAATGCTTTTCCCGGGTATGATCTTGTTGTCCTTGTCTTCAGGGTTGATCATGCAGAAACCTGATAAAGAAATTCAAAGCACTGTCCTGAAGACAAACCTTGTTTTTGCTTCAAAATATTTTATAAATGTCCTCATTTTGATATCAGTATTTGAAGGTGGAAAGGTTATTAATAATTCTTCCATTTTTTTAATGTGGAAAAACTAAGGAATAAAAAAGTAGAATAATTGAGTTGACTAAAATCCTAAATGTAGGAGAATTGTCCTATTATTCCTATTAACTTTCATTTCATTAGATCTGGCCCATCCTTCTAGCATGTTAAAGTTTTTGGTTGCCACTATCAACCAAACTGTTAACAAACTATTCCAACTTTCCATCACCTGAATGTTTGATAAGTTTAGCATCAATTCCTTTTTTCCAAATAATTGATAAAAATGTTAAACAGCACATGAAAATAACAAGGTACATTCAATGAACCTTTTCCTAGAAAAGGTTGCCACAGAGGAAAGTTATAAAAATTGGGGATTGATCCTTGGGAAACTTCACTAGAATTCTCCCTCTGAGTTGGAATGATTCTTTTAATAAATATTCTTTTGGTCTGATTAGTCAACCAATTCTGAACCAACCTAACTGAATAATCATTTAGTTCACAGCTCTCTGTATTGTCCATAATCAGTCAGTCAATTGGGGAGAATGAGTTCCTTTGTCAATAGCTTTGCTGAAGACTAGATATTCAATTATTTTTTTCTCTTTATCTCACTCTAGTGACCCTATCAACAAAGGAAATTATATTAGTCTTACATGGCTAACCTTCTTAATGAAGCCAAGCTAGCACTTGTTTTCTACTTCATTTTCTAGATATTTGTGAACCATCCTTTTAATAATACGTACTAGAATTTTGCCAATGAAACCGAAGTTCAATAGACTTCATTATAGAATTATAGATTTCTTTTATAGAATTTATAGAATTATATTATAGAATTATAGTCAATAGACTTCATTCTCTTCCCTTTCCAGAATATCAGGTCATTTGTTTTTCTCTACTACTGGGGTAACCCTTCCATTATCCATGATCTTTCTTTTTCTTTTTATAAATTAACTTTACCTTAATTCTGAACTTTAAAAAGACCAAAGGGAATAGAATTTGCCAACACATTGTAGAACAGAAAAAGAGGATTTTACATAAAGTTATAGGTCTCTAATATGTTTGATTTGCTTTTCAAGTATAGAATAAGATCAAACTGTAGTTTTCAAAGCTGTCCTGCTTATCTGATCTTTTCTTTTTTTTCTCTCTCACATAAAAAATTATTTCAAATAACTTATTTTCTCCCCCCCCCTACTTTTTTACTATCTTACTATTATTTCCTCCTTGCCTTTCCAAGCCATAGCTACCCTGGTTCCACCTCATTGGGAGAAAAAAAAAAGAAAAAAAAATAACTCTTTTAGTAAATATATTCAGTGAAGCAAAAGAAATCCACACATGGGCTGTATACAAAATTATACGTCTTATATTACATCAGCTGTTTGTGAAGAGGTGGATAGCAAGCTCTGGTCATCTAAATTCATGGTTGACAATGTGCTTGATCAGAATTCTAGAGTCTTTCAAAGTTTTAATTTATAGTGTTCGTGTTATTATGCAAGTTGATCATCTGGTTCTATTCATACAAATTTGTCCAGGTTTCTCAGAAACCATCCATTTCATTATTTCTTTTGGCACATTTCATTCCTTCACATTCCCATATCGTAATTTGTTTAACCATTTCCCAATAGATGGATATCCACTAAGTTTCCAGGGTTTTTTCTACTACAAAACAATATGCTGTAAATATTTTCATACATATGGCTCCTTTTCCTCTTTTCTTGATCTCTTTGGTGATATTATACTTAGTAACAGTATCTTGGGGTCAAAGAGTATCCACAGTTTGGTGACTTTTTGTCCATAGTCCCCAGTTGCTTTTCAGAATGAATGTATCAATCACAGCTCAACTAAAAGTGCATTAATGAGCCTGTTTCCTCTGAAGCCTCTCTAATATCTGTCATTTTCCATTTTGTCCATTTTTGTTGACTTAATGAAAGTTCAGAATTACTTTAATTTATATTCTTCTAATTATTAGTGATTTGGAACATTTTCATATAGTTGTTTGAGAGTTTGTATTTCTTCTTTTAAAAATACCTATTCATCTTTTTTGACAATTTGTCTATTGTGGAATGGTTCTCAGTCTTATACATTTGAATCAGTTCCTTAGATATCTTGGCTACGAGACTTTCATGAGATAAACTTACCCTGAAGACTGCTTCCTAGTTGTGCTTCTTTTTAAATTCTAACTGAATTCATTATGTTTGTCTAAAACCAAAAATTTTGTATAACTAAAATTATCTATTTAATCTTTGATCCAAAAGATAATTACTTTACTTGCTTCTCTGACTTGTTTATGATGTCCAAAGTAAAAAGACACATATGTACAAAAATACTTTATATTAGCTTCTTCTTCTTCTTTTTTTTTTTGTAGTTGCAAAGAACTGGAAACTAAGGGGGTGGCCATGAACTGAGTAATGGCTAAACAAATTATGGCATATGAATATATAATGGAATGTAATTATGGTATAAGAAGTGATGAAAGGGATGGTTTCCATGAAACCTAGGGAGAATTAAGTAAACTAATGCATAGGGAAGAGAGAAGAACAAAGAACAAAAACAAACATAAAAACAAAACAACAACAATTATCACTTTAAAGGAGAAAAACTTTGAAAGCCTTGTCTCTTCTCAACAAGATGACCAACTCTATGCTTCCAGAGGAGCAATGATGATATATCTGGCAGAGAGATGATGTATTCAGAGGTAGATTAAGACTTTTTTTTAAAAGCATGTTAGAAATGTGAGATCAATGTTAGAAATTGTTAAATCAATGTTAGGTCAATGTTAGAAATTTATTTTTCGTGACTGTGCCTATTTTTTTTAATAACAAGCATTTTTTTTCTTCTTTTCCCCCAGTGGTTGGAGGGGGTGAGAGTTGGCAAGGAGAGAAAATCAAGTTTTGTTTGTTGAAAAAAATAATTAAAAAACCAAAATCATTATGTCAATTTTTTATGTCTAAGTGATGTATATATTTGGGGCTTCATTTGCTAAAAGGTTAGAATTTACCAGTTTTTCCAGCTGCTTTTGTCTGATATCAAGACCTTACCCCAATAGGTGAGTTGAACATTTGGATAATAGGTTCTTTTGCTTCTTAATGTTGTGCACTTTATCTATTTTACTAATGAATCCTCATTTTCCCATCACTACTAAATCATATTTGGTAGAGCTAGGCCTCCTCAGTCCCACTTTTGTTTTTATTATTTTCCTTGAGACTCTCAATCTTTTATTCTTCCAGATGAATTTCTTTATTATTTTTCTGGCTACATAAAATAATTCTTCAACACTTTAATTGGTATGTCATTAAATAAGTAAATTAATTTAGGTAGTGTTATAAATTTTCATTGTATTAACTCAGCCTAATCATGGACAATGAATATTTCTCAAATTATTTGTCCGTCTTTGTTTCTGTAAATTATGTTTTGTAGTAGCATTTACATAGTTCCAATGTGTGCTTTCTTAGATAGTTTCCCAAGTATTTTGTATAGTCTGTAGTTATTTTGAATTAAATTTCCCTATCTCTTCATGTTGAATTTTCTTGGTAATACACAGAAAAGCTGAAATTTATATGGATTTATTATATGTAGTACAACTGTTATGAATTTATTTTGATTCATTTTTAGTTGACCCTTTAGAGTTCCCTTTAGATTAGACCATTATATCATTAGCAAAAAGTCAATTCTTTTGTTTTATCTTTGCCTGTGTTTATTCCCTGAAATTCTTTTTTAAAAAAATTCTATAGTTATAGATAGCATTTCTGTACTAGTGGTGATAATGGGCATCCTTGCTGTTTTTCTGATCTTATAGGAAACCTCTTTCCATTATGTATAGTTTGCTCTTTGTTTTAGATAGATACTGCTTGCCATGTTAAGGAAAACTCCATCTGTTCCTATACTTCCTAGAGTTTTGAACAAAAACAGGTGTTAAGTTTTGTCAAAAGTCCTTATAGTATATATTGATATAGTCAAATGGATTTTTATTATTAATATAATCTATAGTGTTTTATGTTTTCCTTATATTGTGACAGGACCAACATTTTCCTGACACAGCTTCCTTAACTTTCCCAACTTTTTTGACACAGCTTCCTCACTCTGAACAACCTGATTTTCCTAGCTTTCTTGATAAAACTTCTTGCACTGGAGACAAAAATGTCACAGACTCCTGTAGTCAGGGCCTTTCAAATTTATTGGGTGCCTGAGACAACAGAAGTTGCTAAATCCTGTTGAGTTACTGACCAAACATGTTTCTATGAGATTAAGGAGTCTGTGTCCATAGAATTTAAGTGCCACTATATCCTTGTCACATAGTGTGTTAAAATAGCTTCTTGTTCTGATCCTTTGACCACCTTCCCTTTTATTCAGCGACCAGTATAAAGGAACAATAGCAGGAAGTAAGATTGCAAAGGGGAACCTGTAAGTGACATACAAACTGACTCAAAGATCGAGGGAGCATAATTTACAAATTACATGTATTAACTAAAATTCACATCCTAGTAATGTGTGTTGAATCAAGGAAAACCATTTAGGTGCTGCTAGTTAAGGTTTGGTACTGTGATTTGTAAATTCCAGACAAACTCTAGACCTCCACAGTTCCAAACCAGCAGAACATCAAAAAGGTGTTGATAAATTTGAGGTGAAGACCTTGGAGTTTTACCAATAACTTTGAGATGTTTGGGATATATTAATGAATTAACCTCAAGGTGGCAGAGATAGGAGTTGGTCTGTTTCCCTCCAAAAACCCTATAAAAATGAGACCTCAAACTCCCCTCCCCCAACTTTTCCATATCCATAGAGTCCATGTTGTCTAGTGCTCCCAACTCTAATCAATGGTTATATGAGTGACATTCTCAACCTCTTTCCTTCTTTGCTCTTTTTTCCATGCTGTCTTCATGTGCCATCCTATTTCCTGTCCCCATGCCTCCATCTGC